CGTCAGCAGTATAGCTCGATGGTTACGTAATTATTATTAGTCCTTTTGCTTAATTTTAATAAATCTAATTTATATTTAGTTATAATTAATTAATACTTAAATAAATTATCTTATTTAATATATATTAATTATTTTTTTAATGCTAGTAAAATAAAAAAATAAGTACAACATTAAATAATTAAACTTAAATATCTTAAATTATAAAATTAAACAAAAAAGTATTTTTTTAACATTAAAAATATTCTTGAAATAATTTATGTGCATTTTAAAATTAAATATTTTTTAATTCAATTAAAAATAAGTTATTTATGTCAGAATTAAAAAGTTTAAAAAGAATTATAATTTTTACTCTTAATAGTATAATAAATATATTTTTTATAATTAATTTATATAAAAATTATAAAAATTAACATTTATTTTAGTATTATTAATAATAAATAATTTTAATTGATTAATTAATTAATTCAAAATTAATACTTATTTTTTTACATAAATTAATTATAAAATAATTAATTACACCATTTAAAATCACGGATTAAAAAAACTCAATTTCAAATGGTACTTCCTCTGTTTCCAATTAATAGACACTTTAGGCTTATGCACAAGGATTAAGAAAATCATTCAATTACTCTTTGATTTTAGGGATTCTTGATTCTAAAATACTATTTTTCCCTTTTAAAATTCTCTTTTGGTTAAAACTCCATTTTGGTCCCTAAACTATTATACAGACCCCCAATTTGATCCCTAAACTAAAAAAATTCCTAATTTAGTCCTTACTGTTTAACGTTTTAACCCCAATTTGATCATTCCATTCAAATTCTCGTTATGTGTTCTGTTAATTTGCTGTTACATAATGATATGTCAATTTTTAAAACACGTGTAAATACACATGAAATCAAAATAATGACTTGGAAAAAAAATAATAATCTAATAAAAAAATAAAAATTCTTTCTTATATTTTTTTTTCTTCTCTTTCATTTTCCCTTTGCCCTCGGAATCGATCAATGGAACCCACACACTGGGTTCGTTGGAACTCATACGAGAGTTCTTTCAAACCTAGTGCCTGGGTTCTATCGAACCAGTGGCAAAAAATTAGAAAAAATTTCCTTTTTTGTTTGTGGCTTTTGTTTGATGATGATGAAGAAACTAGCAAGGTAAGAGATTGAGGTGCCTGATCCTTGGGTTCCTTCTAACCCAACACGAACCCAGGCGTTGGGTTCGTTGGAACCCAAGCATGGGTTCTTTCGAACCCAATGGCAACAAATTAGAAAATTTTTCTTTTTTTGTTTGTGGGTTTTGTTTGATAATGATGAAGAAACTTTTGTTTGATGATGAGGAAGAAACTAGTTGAGGGCTAGAAAGAATCCAGGTGCTGGGTTCTAAAAAATTAGAAAAATTTTCTTTTTTTTTTGTTTGTGGGTTTTGTTGTTTGATGATGATGAAGAAATTAGAAATGTAAGAGATTGGTTGAGGAGAATAGATTGGTTGAGAAGTTAGGATTTGTAGAAGTTGAAGAAAAGGAAAAGGAAAGAGGAAAGGAAGAAACGAAAAAGGAAAAAAAATAAAAAAGGGATTTTTTTTTTTGGGTGGGATGAGTTGGAATGCCATGTCATTTACTTTTGCCAACCTGTCACTTTTTATGTTTTTTCCGTCAATTAACATGAAAATATTAACGAAATGACCAAATTGGGGTTAAAATGGTAAACAATAGGGACTAAATTAGGGATTTTTTTAGTTTAAGGATCAAATTGTAGGTCCATACAATAGTTTAGGGACCAAAATAGAGTTTTAACCTTCTCTTCTTATCACTTAAAGTCCACCGTCTGTTTTTCTTCCCTAGACAAGGAAATTCAACAGCTTGTTCTTCAAAAAATAA